TCCTAACCACGCCCTACCTCCCTCCGAGGCTCCCCCAGCACAACTGCTGCTGCTGCTGCTGCTGCCACCCCTGCTCGGCACTGCCTCCCAGGTGAAGGCCTTAGTTTCCACACTCTGACCCGGTAGTATGCCCATCCTCAGGCTATGCAAAGAACATTGCAGGCGTATAAGCCATGTCCACCTCAAGTTTGTTGCCTGCTAGTTCTATTTTTAAAGAATTAAAGGATAAATAAAAATTTCTAAAAATGTGTGTGTGTGCCACGAAGTCTAGATGAAGACTTATGGCAGAACTTTGAGACTGAATAGAATACTTCCTGTCTTAATAATCACTGTATATTCATTCCATCCCCTCTTTCTCCAAATACTTTAGCACTACCAGTCATGCACATCAACTAGACAACTTTCTGCCTGAGAGTTTGTTAAGACACTGAAAATTTTTAATTCGATAATGCAGAGTCCTAGACTTGAGCAGACACACACACACACACAGAGCCCTCCTAACAGAACATAGTGATGCTTTTTTAAAAAACTTTTTAAAGTTTTTACTAGCACGTTTGCAGAACATGTTTACGTTCCTTTGTGGAGTTGGTACATCCATGTAACACATCTTATTTTTAGACAGGCAATGTTCCTTCACATTGATGTCAGATTACCAAAAAATTAAGGTATTATCATAATTAGACATAAAAGTATAAACCCTAACATTGTAATAAGATTCATTTTTAAAAATAATAATTTTTCCGTCTGCACTAAGCTTATCCAAAGGTTTTGAAAAGAAATCATCCCGGTGCGCGGGCAGCACTCTGGGTGCAGCCTGGATGTGTGCACATGCACACACGCACGCACGCACACGCGCAGACACTCCTGATCTCACACCTGCTCTGACGCAGTAGGAAGTGAGTTCTCAATCTGCCAACCCGACCATCTGGCAATCCGCACATCATGCCTTCCTGGTTGCTGGATGAAGGAATGGCAAGCATGAAGCCAAGCTAAAGCCATGCCACCCCTCAACGGGCGCACCCCTCTCTCAGGTGAAAGAACATGTGGCATGCCAGAGCAGAAGTAGCAGTGATCTTATGCATTTAGAATGAGCATCCCCATGGCATAATTAAGTGAACAATATGGCATGGGTAACATGGCTTTTAGAAACAGCACTGTACAGGTTTTCCATACAGGTACCAGGCTTCTGAGACAGTGAAACAGCTTTCTCCAGGAGTAAGGGCACCTCTGGCGTCCCTGGACCAGGTTAACCCCAGTAGGGTTGGAGCAGTCAGCAAGCCGTGTGTCACAAAGCCTGTGTGCAGAAGCTTTTGCCTCCTATCTTAAAACAAGCATCCACACTGCCACGAGGACACTGCTGACGCAGGGCGTGGCTAATGAGCGGTCACAGCAGTTACCTGACAAATTCTGGCCACTCACTGCCTTTCAAAGCGAATTTTAAGATGGCTATAAATACTCTCAATCTTAGGCCATCCCATGCCTGCAAAACTGAAGATGCTCATTTCAACTTAGCACTAGGGCCCTAGGCCACTTGAAAATTAGCACAGGCCCTGGTTCATGAGATATAATTCCATTGTTTAATTTGAATTTTTAAATGTCGCCACACAGCTGCTTGGGCACTCGCCACCCACCCTGGTGGTAACTACCAAACACAAACAGTGACGACGCCATTCTGTGGTATAAGTACTGCAATCTGTCTCCACCCAAGACACGAGCCCCCAAACAGTCTAAGCTTTCACAAAATTTAACCAACCAGACTGTGAATCCTCCTAGAATCTGATTACATTACTAGAAGTCATACAGAAGCAGTTTCAAAAAAGAAAAAACTCTCCAGAAAGTTCTCGGTTGAGTGCCTACTAATGAACAAAGGTTAACTTTATCTAAAAGGTCAAATGCCTGGTGGCTAAGGTTATGACCTTAACAACTTAAATTGTGACCTTGCCACGTGCCGGGTATATTGCAGATTCTGATACAGATCATCTGCTAAAGACTGCCCATAAATTAGCTTTACATGCCCACAAAGAAAACCATTTTCCACAATACCATAATATCTCATCATCCTGTTATACATGGGAAGCACAATTGGACACAGCCCAAAGTAAGGGCATAGAGTGGTTCTGTCCTTTTAAATGCCTTTGAAATTCTTAGGCTTAAGGAATCACTCCTATTTCACTGCACCCCTTACTGCCAAACAGCCACAAAATTCACAGAATTCTAATCCCAGTGGACTTAAGGTGAAAAGTCCAAAAGTAGCTTATTATTATATTTTTGCATCTCAATAAACCTTAGAATAATTTTCTTCTATTTTTAAAAAAATGACTGATTCTGCATTTGCTTCTAGTACTCAAGGAGATAGGCAATATTTTTCCAGAGAAAATCTAAATGCATGATGCAATAGTTATTGTACACATGTTCAGAAAGAAAAGATCACATTTCTGTGGTGGGGGTGGCAGATTCGGAAAGGAAAAACAGCGTATCAATGAAACGAAGACAGAAATTCACTACAGGTGAGGAGGCCACGATGCATTTGGCATGTATCTTGGAGCAGTCTCAAGGGCTCTGCCTCCTGCCAATACTGGCGAGTTCTCAAAACTTTTAAGGAGGTAAAAACATTGTTCAGTGTTTACAAATCTTCAGCATCATAACAGATGCTTGTCAAATCAGTTGCATGTACGTTGACCGATCTACCTCCTATTTATATTGGCAGCTTCCCTTCCACAAAGAACAGGTCTCCAAATCTCCAAAGTCTAACCCAAAATACTTCAGACAAAAGGCCCTAGTGACTTCTGTAATCCCACTGCTACACACTCAGCAGCCATGAGCACAATCTGAGAGCACCAAGGCAGGACACCTGGCTGGGTCGCTCCCAGGCCTTGTCGGGAAAGCCCACTCAAAGGCAATCTGACCCACCTTGGAGTCGATAAATCCTTCCCAGGCAGTCAGGATGCCGACTCTCCTACCACCTTCTAAGTGTCACCCTACCAACACCACTCTTCAGCTGCCACAACAGCCAGCAGTTTGTTAGCTCAAGGGTTCAGACAACAACATAATAAGAAGCCTGCATTGAGGAGACACAATACATACACAAGAACAGCTAGAAAGGGTGTGTGCATTTCCTTCCATCTAGGGACGTGTTTGGTGAGAAATGCAGAATGGGCCCTGCTCCCACGCACACAACCATCCAGGCGTGTCGTTTTAGGGTTCTTGTAAGGAAGGACGCAAGTGGCCTGTGTCACCTGTTGGAAAACTCAAGTTTTTGGGTTGGCCAGTTGAAGCGTTTACTGCGACCTATCAGTTATTTTTCTAAACACCCAAGAGATAAACACAAGATTTGAAAAAGTGCCTTTTTGTGCACCCTGATGCTCTTAGAAAAGCAAATAAATGAAAACATTTCTTAACTTTGCTTTGATCATAGATAAAACAGACGAAAGTGGGGTTAATTGAGAGTCTAAGAAGGCCACTTGCTCCTGTTGTGAGATTATTTTCGAGGTGTTGGCTTTTTCTTTTCTGCTACTTAGAACTGGCTAAAGCAACAGGCAGCTTATAATTAAGTATACATTTTCAAAAACCCAAATATTTGAAACGCTTACAGAGCACATCTTCTAAAATACTCATCTATCCCCTGCCAACAGAATGCAAATGATGATGTGACGTGCTTGCAAAGTTAATTTTTCCAGTTTCTTAAGTAAGGACAGATGGGTACAAAAGTTCGTTTTCTAAATCATATACCAAAAACTAATAGAAAATACAGCTGACGTCTTTAAAACATAGCTAACAGTTTTAAAGTTTAAAGTATTTTTGCAAAACATTGCAATGTGGACTTTGCAGGTAGTATCTGTTCTCTCCTTTGTGAAAAAATTATAAATATACCCCAAAACGAGTCACTACAGGAGGCCACAACTTACTTCTTCCATCTGGCTCAACGGACTGCCATGACCACAATCTAGCAGGACCGCAGCGTACACATAAAAAGTCAACAAGTTACACAAGACCTGAGCCTTCACATCTACACAATGAGCCTTTGTCTACGACAGGACAAAAGAAGCGAAGTAAAAATGCTTTATTCTAGCCAGACCTCAACAGTTTTACCCCGAATGCTGTTTTAAATGCTGAAACACACATAGGTAAAACATGCTTTAAAAACAGTAATTAATTTTATTAAAAAATCAAAACAACTCACTGCGTCAGTTATCAGTAGCAATTTCTCTATGTGTTCCTGCACAACCCTCTGTCGACAACTTAAAAGACGTCAGTGGGCTGTCCCCTTAGCTACTGGAGATGACCCTAAGAATTCCTAAATACAAAGTTTCCAAACTTGCAGATCAGTGTGGTCATCTTTCCTTCAGAAACAGTCAGCAATTTAATGGTAATCTACGGTAATCTTACCTCCAAAGTCCTAACTGGCAGGAGGTTTGCAAGGCCCCTGTAAGTTAAAAACACTCCCCAAAGAAAGCGGACTAGAGAAGCTGCCTCCCCAGGAGACCACAGGCCCAGGACCAGAGTCCCGGCCAGGCAGGCCTCCTTCTGACAAGGGTTTCCGCGAGGGTTCACTCACCTCCGCCAAGACTGTGGGTGGGACCCCTGGCCCATCTGGCCACCTGCCCTGGACAGCTCTACTTACCGGGATCTGAGCCTGCAAGAAACTGTGGCTCTGAGCCTCCACGGGGTCCCAGGGCACTGAGGCCCAGCTGAGCTGGCTGCCTCTGGCCTGTCCCTGAAGCCACATGGCTGCCTGGACGTGGCCTGAACCTCACTCAAAAACATGTAGCACCATGATAATATGTAATCTATTAACAGGTGATTTCTTACTGTTATGTTTTTTTAGTTTGTAGTTCTGTATTATGTGTACCCTTACACCGCTTTGTTTTGTTTTGTGTTTTTCTCTTTTTCCTCTTAAATAAAATTAAAAAAAAAAAAAAAAGCGTGTAGCACTCGAGGCCCCTGGGACAGCAACACTGCGCCGTGTGCGCAGTCCCGGCCAATGGCCGCGCCACACTTACCTGCCGCGTGCACAAAGTAGGCCAGGTACAAGTCGAGCTCCTTGACGGACACCCCTATGTGGTGGGGCTGGACGCAGAGCCCGGGATTGGAGCACTGCGGGGACTTCACCAGACGCTCGCCATCAGTACTTTCCAGCGGGATGCCCTTAAACAAGATCACCATCACCAGGTCCAGCCGCCAGACTTTGTCCGCCTGGCGCAGGCAGTCAATCCTCCGCATCTTGCCCTTCTGGTCCGGGTTGGAAAGCACGCAGCAGGGAGGCTTCTTCCCCGTGACCGTGAGCACAAAATCCTCCCGGTACTCAGGCCGGATGTCCTTCCGCAGCTTCGCCAGCAGCCGAGAAGCCCACTTCTGCTTGACCTCGGGCTTCTCGCTCAGCAGCTCGTCCTTCACGGCCCTCTCCTCCTCCTTGGACATGCGCTTCTCGTGTTTCTTGAAGTATTTTCGTTTCCGGGCCTGCAGGTTGAACCACGTGTAGGCAAAGGCGCGGACGTGGGGTAGAAGTGCTTCGATGAAAGGGTGGAACTCATCCTGGGAAGAGGGGGACAGCAGAAACATGAAGAGAGGGACTTGAGAGGCCACTAAACATTGCCCATCCACCCGATGCTGGACGCACACGTCACCTTCCCAAAATCTCACATGAAACCCTGAGGGAAAGCCAGCGACAGGCGACAAACATCAGTATCCTTTCTCACCGTCTGGAAGACAAGAAACTGCCAAAATCCAAGAATGTCTGCATGCCTGTGCCAAAGCACACTGCTTCTGCTTGGGCCTGGTCCTCCCGGCAGCAAGGGAAGCTGATCTCCATGTTTCTAACAACACAAGCCCTGCCTCGGCCAAGGAAGCGATCTGTACCACCATGTCCCAGCCCTGACCTCGGCACTCGCACCCAGCCAGACCGCCAGGCTGGCACCTGCGAGCGTGGAGGTGCCAGTCAGTGTTCAGGAAAGTCTGGGGAAAAAACGCCAGGCCATCAATGAACACAAGGCTTTCCTCTGAAAACATCCCCGGAACCCTGGGATAGTTCTTCTTCTTCCTGACCTTTTTGATTCTTCTTTTAAATATTGCATTTGCATGTAAACTTTTTTTTTAGTCAAAGAAGTAAAAAAAAAAAAAAATTGGCAAGTCCTTATACAAAGAAGAAGAAGAGTAAGAGGAGGAGGAGGGGGAATTATTATTATTATTTTATATTCATTAGGTGAAAATAAAAGATCTATGCCCAAGATGTAACTGTTGAGAGCATGGGACTGAGATACAATGGAAAAAACAAAGCAAAACAAAGAAAAGTGCCCAGGCCAGACAGTAAACAAAAGGCGTCACGGTGAGGATAGAGCCGCACTGAATACACACGACTTAGTGACACGCTGCAAGGTGTCTTTGGCATAGACCATTCCTAAAGAGAGGCAGTTTAAGGGTTAGAAACATTTTCCAGCTTTCCTCACTGGGAAACAGAGAAACTGGTGGCTCGATGTTTATGAGTGCCCACTAGGCCCCCACAGATGCCTCTTAAAATTCAGGTAATTTGAAAATAAAACTGGAGTTAAAAATTGAAGTTTTTCTTGTTTTACGCAAAATGTTTGATTTTCATGCTGACATTTGGTTAGGACATATAAAAAATTAAACAGTAAACTCTATCAGGCTTCCAGAGTACATCTAACTTTTGATTAACTCACCCACAGTAATCTTACGTAACTTCTTTCTGCCCATAACTCCCCCTCCAAAGATAAATTATTTACCTTCAAATAAGTAGGACAAGAAAATCAAAGAGCTATTTGATGACTTTTTTAAGAGGGTACATAGGACAAACGCAAAATGCTGTCTTTTTCAAGATAATACTAAGTACATACTTTTTAAGTACATGTAATTGTAAGGTCAGAAATACTATTACTATTAAAGTAATTATTAAATTGCTTAAATTCAAATGTAAACTTAGAAAATAAAATTGGTGAAATATTTTAATAGTCAAGTCTGTTAAAATGTTACAAATGATAATCAATGATCTAAGTGCCATATAAGACTTTTTATTATGCATTAATATCATACATAATAAATCACTGCAATAACTGACATTTAATTTTTTCCTCACTGTTTTAATTCTAGGCTCTATGTCTGAAGTTTATCTTTGAAAAGTGCTCCTTTTCAATAAAAGAACTCGTAAGTAAAGCAGCTAGCTTTCACAGCAAGCATTGAAGTGAAGGGAGAAAAGAGAAAAATACTACGAGAATTACATTACTCTTTATCATAAACTATTAAATTTTCTGATGTTTCAGAGTCTTTCTTATTCCCACAGTTTAAAAGAAAGAAATAAGGGACAAGTCACAGTTTATCTGCTCGGGTATATGCCAAACCACAAAGCATTTAAACATTACTAAATTCTGAGCTCATCCTTAAAATGTTCTAAAATACATACATTTTGTGACAGTGTTGACAGGGACCCAGCTCATCTCTACACAGGACACACTGGGAACCCATACTGGGGACCACTTTGCAAGAAACTCCTGGAGCCCACCGTGGATTACACTGAGTGTCCATTGAAGGGAAGACCTTGTTTCAAAGCCTCTGTGCCTTTTTATCGTACCAATAGCAACTTGGCTCCAGACATTTCACATCTACACCAAAATACTGTCTTCTTTTAAAGCTTTATTAATAATAACCATCGTAAGGAAACATCACAGTACGGCACTTTGCAGGTTTGAAGGTATTCTCAAAATGCTTCTCTAAAAACTGGGACCATGCTCCTTGGAGTTCAGAAGCATTAATTTACCTGCCAACCAAAGTCCCATACAGCTCATCGTGAAAATCTGAAATGAGGTCAACTATGTCAACCAGTCATTAAGAATAATCTAACCCCAACTTTGCATCAAAAGTATTTATAACATACTAGCCCCCAAAGACTTATAGAATTTGCCAGTAAAAGTGCACAATATTTTGGAAAACTTTACTCAAATGCACAATTTCAGTACTAGTTAATATTTAAAAAATGTCTTTCTCAACTCACAATGAGAAACACTTCAGAACAGCAATGTAAGATCATCATTAGGTTGCAGGAAATGTCCAGGGACGGCAAAAGTGATGGGGGGGGTATTATGCCCTTATAAATCATGCTGTTAAACAAAACACCATCGGCTATGTAGTATTTCACAATGCTCAAGAAAAAGCAAAGACTAATATATTACATACATGGTCGGTGAGAACGTTACAGGCCACCAATAAAAATAAAAGCAAAACCCTGTTCCTAACAGCTATTACTTTGAATCAGAACATCCTAAATGTTGATCTGTTTGAAAGGAAGCCAAATTTAAGAACCACAAAATAGTGATATTTCTAGAATCTACTTTTTAAAAAAAGGTTCACTTATAAACTTCTGCTGGGTTATCATTGTACAGTCAGGTACATGATTTAGTTATGTTATGCCCCTTCCAGGTTAAAGTCAGCTGTCTGGCATTTTCCTGATAAAGTTTTTTAAAATTATATACAAGTATATGGAAATATATTCTTTCATGTAGCTTACTGAATTTTTTAAATGAACAATAAGCTAAGTTTTTTTTTCTAAACACTGGTTTTAAAGTGTTATAAATATTCCAGAAAATTAGGTAACTGTAAATCAATTTCTAAAAGAGCTCCCCTTAAAATGAGATTTTATTCACTATTTATTGTATATTTTCTTAGAAACTGTTAAACCAAATATAAATGTTCGAAGGCCTAGTGAATGCATAATCAATGCTCTCAAATATGCAAAAGTAAAAAAAAAAAAAAGAAAAGAAAAAAATCTTTGTTAATGTGCTAATAGCTGCAGAAGCAGTAGCCGGCTCCTACAGTCCCGGTGTGCTGGGCCTGCAGGACGCAGGTACCCTCAGATGCGCATGGCCCCAAAGCCCAGTTTATCTCCTCGGGCCCCTGGAAGGGACATAGGAGCATCTGCCAGTCACTCCTTGTCGCAGCACACTGCTATTATCTACAAGTTCTGCGTGTTGCAAAGTTTAGCCAGCGACAACTTCAGCTTCTGAATCTCAGCGTTTTCACTGCAGTCTTTAATTCATTCAAATGATCCTAACACTTTGCATCTTATCCATATGCAATTGTGAACCTCGCCAGAAGTGGTTGGAAAAGTTTCATTCCATACTTCCAGAAGTTCCTAAAATAGGAACTTTGCAAGTTTGTTAGGGGAGGAAAAAAAAACTTTTACAATAACTAAAAACAACTGCTTTCCAGTATTAATGTTAGGCCTAAATCCCAAGCAGACCATTTTGACATAAAAGATGCATTTACAAGTCTTCTGAGATCCCATCGCCGGTACTGCCGCAGTTCGGGATTGCAATGAGCAGGGTGTCTGAGGGAAATGAGTTGGAGACCCGAGCACCGAGCTTCAGCTACTCCCAGCCTCCGAAGTCCCGGGCTAAACCGTTATCTCTCGCTCTGAGCGGTCGGTCTGGGCAGAGGCGAGCACGCTTCGCGTGGAGCCCACAACTTCGCGTGGCGACTCGCGCTCGGTCGGGGCGCAGGGTATAAAGCGGGGGTGCGGGCTGCACTTTCTCTTCCCAAGGACTCCGCGCATTCGGGCAGAATAAATAATGAATGCAGCAGCGGGGACCAGATTTGGGGCCGGAGTGGCCTGCGCCCGCGACTGGGCGGCCGTCCCGCGTGGATCCCACACCGCCGCGCCACGGGCAGCGTCCCCAGCAGGCCGCGCGGGACCGATCCACGGCGCGGGGCCCGCGGCCTGGGAAGTTGCGCGGGGACGCCGCCGGGCCCCGCGCGGACACCGCGCCCCGCGCCCCGCTTACCTGCGTGAGGCAGAGCGGCGAGTACATCCTGCGGCCGCGGAGAGGGAGCAGAGCGGCGCTCACATGCCGCCGCCGCCGCCGCCTTCGCCGCCGCGAACTTTCCCCGCCGGCGCCGCCCGCCCGCCCCCCGCGCCGGCCGCGCGTCCAAGGCAGAGCGCGCGATCCGCGCCCGCCCGCGCCGCGCCCCGCCCCGCACGCCGGGGGACCGGGAGGGGGAGGACGGGAGGAGGAGGGGACGGGGCGCGGGAGGAGGAGGGGGCCGCGGCGCGCACCGCCCCGCCCGCCCGCGCGCGGCCTGCGCCCGGCGACAAACTACTTTCCGCGCCCCTCCCCCACCGCCGCAGACCTGCGCGGACCGCGGCGGGGACTGGCCGGTGGCGCGCGTGTGCGCGATGCGAACCCTGCACCCCGGACCCGGGTACCCGGAGCTGCGCGCCTCGTGCCCGTGCGCGGGCCCCGCCAACTTCTGCGCCGCAGCCCGGGGGCGGGGGTGGGGAAACGGGTGTCCCCTCCCAGGGCCGGGACCGGGCACCTGGCGCCACCGCACTGTGCACGGAGACCCCCGCGCCCCGAGCCGCCGCGCCCGTCCCTGGGAGGAAGGGCTGCGACCGCGGCGCCCGGGAAGGGTCCGTCCCGTCCCCGCGTGCCCCGGGCCGCGCACCCCGGGGCGCCTGGCGCACCCCTCTCCCCGGCCCCAGGTAACAGTTCTTAGAGTGGAAAGGAGCTTCCTGCAATTATTTTAGGGTT